GAAGCGTCTGGATTTCAGGCGATCGGTGCGGGATCGCAAGCGGTTCCACTACATATGCGCCTTCCTGCTGCTCGTGTCCAACAAGGGCATTGCCAGTCTGCCAGGCAGTGCTCAGCGCCAGCTGCTCCAAATGGTCGAGGAGGTGGCCTCGCATGGTAAGCTAGCTACTCAGTATCCTAAGCATTCAGCATTCTTAACTAACTTTCTTTTATCCAGTGAACGACAGCCAGCAGCATCCGAATGTGCTGCGCGGCCTGGCCCTGAAGCTGGAGCACATCGTCAACCAGGAGAACCAGAAGTGCTGGGGCAAGCCACTGGGCAGCACGTACCTGTGGAAGGAGCACATGGCCACTATCAAGCGCATACAGCGTGTCGCCAGCCAGATCGAAATCCGCGAGGTAAGGACTGATGTCCTGCGAATACAATCTGGATTTTCCATACTCACAATCTGCATCTTCGCTTATTCTAGCCCGATCCGGAGGCCAAGCCAAAACTGCACGAACTGCCGGAGGAGTGTGTGCGGGAGATCATCCTGTGCATAGCCGACCATCGGGACCTGGAGTCGGCCGCTGAGGCCTGGGAGACCATGGCCAAGCTGGTCTCCGAGCAGCGCATCTGGCGCGAACTGACGCGCTTTCACTTCAACCAGCGCCAGATCCACACCATCCTGGACCTGGACAAGTTCAAGCAGATGGGCGAGCTCAAGGACTGGAAGCAGATCTATCACCAACTGCGACGCACCTATGGCGTCAACGATGATTACCAGTTCGCCGAGGTGCTGGCCCTGTGCCGCTCCTGCTGCTGCCTGTTCTGGCCATCGGACGGACACCCGTGCATCGTGGACCAGAGTCCGGACTACAAGCAGCGGCTAGAGGAGGCCGGAGGTCAGTTGGCTCTGGCCCAACCAGTTCCGCCCGCCCAGTTTCTCAAGTACTTCTCGTTGTAAGCCGGATGTTCGGACCAAGGGAGAGAGATAGAGATAGATCGAAAGTATTTTTACGGCCCAGTGGATAGGTTGTTCATGCGTGTGTTAAAGTTTTACCCTTGGAAAGGAGAGAAGAGGAGAGGAGTTGATAGTCGAAGATCGGATCAGAAAAAGCAAAGTGATATGAAATCCCTAATCTATAACTACATACGTTAATACGTAAATCGCCAGGCTCGTTTCGATTGGTTTGCAGTTTGTCCAGGAAAAGGTTCAGATTCTAGTTTAGCGTGGTTTCAGTTCAGTTATTTGCCAACCTGTTGTATTACCACATCTGCCGGCAAACCACAATCTGTGCAGGACCGAAGATTACTATTAGTTGTAGACATATTCATTGACTCGCGTGTCAGTTGCCAGGGTCCAATTCTGGGTCGCTAATCTTTGAGGTCGGAGTGGTTATAGACTTATTTAGGACACGCAAAACGAACTGCCACAAAACGAGAATAAGCGATTATTTTTTGTCAAACTGATTATTGCAAGACGTGTATGGAGAAACTATTTTTAAAGTACCAGTATGTATAATTACCGATTTGTTCATTTTAAGACAAACGAGAAATACACTTTTATGCATGACTTTTGAGCGATCTATTGTAGCGGTTAAGTCTAGTTTCTTTAACGTGTATCAGCTGCTTTTGGTGCTAAATCGTATTATAAGTTCCAATCCAACGAAATCAAATCAAACCAGCTAGTTGCCCAGTCCGATTCGATCTGTAGTTCCGAGTGGAAGACGTAGCGTGGAGGAAATCATGTGATGTTGCAGGAAGCAAAGCTAGAAACGAATACACCTACCTAACGATAACAAATCTTCAAGCGATTTGCCGCAAAGCAATGCTATATACAAATACTAGAGATCGTCGCCAGTACAAGAGTGATTTTATGGTATGCCCAACCAGACAACAGAGTAATCCTTACCCCAAGACAGATCGGAAGCCAAGTATTTTCCAAAACCAAACCAAACACTCTTTATTGGCCGATGGAGCAGACAAACAAATATAGATATTGTTAACGTGTATAGATACCCTGTAGTAGAGAACCCGATCCAAGCCTCAAGATTTCCCTGTAAAATACCAGTTTGATCACATTAATTTTACTATAACTATTACTGTTGTAAGTACGAAAGTTTTAGCATTCTCAATCACTTGTTTGCAACATTTCTACGCGAAATAAGTCTTTCATTTTATGTTGAAAATAAAAATTGCAAATAATTGTGGATTACTGGGATTGTTTAAATGGGAAAAATGAAAAAGTATTTAACCTATGAACCTTTATAAAATATATATTTAATTTAATTTAATAAGGAGACATATGTTTGTGTCTGCTTATCCGGTAGGCCATTGATTGCGACATTTCTATTGACCAAGCAGACAGTTGCCATGGATAAAATCAATGCTTTATTATAGGCTCTCAATGTTTTCATCATATCATTGGCTGTGAAATCGAAGTGCAGTCATATTTTCTGCTCAGTTTCCAATAGGAATGGAATTTATTTTTAAAAAGGAGCGCCGCTCCTTTGGAGCCCGTGTCAACTTCGAGGACAAGGATGAGGTGGTGTTCACCGAGAACTCGAATCCGGAGCTAGTCAAGGGCTACATACTCAAGAACCCCGTGGACCGGGTGACGCAATACGCCGGACAAACCTCACTGAGTGTGGCCAATACGGAAAGGGCGACGTACAAGAGTACGGGAATCACCCACAATGAGGGCGGATGGCCGAAGGACATCAACATGCATGATCCGGAGCAGACGGTGCGTTACAAGCGGAAAATCGAGAAGGACGAGAATTATATCACCCAGGTGATGAATCTGACAAAGCCCATGGAGCACTACATCCACCAAAACAATGCGGTCAACATCTATGAGAACTATTTCGAAAATCTCGATCCAGCTCCACTGCCCGAGCCATGTAAGTCGCGCACGGTCAACGTGTACCGAGATCCCAATCCCATTAAGGTGCCAGTGAAGCATTTGTCCTGGTCTCCGGATGGCGGCATTAAAATGGCCGTCAGCCATTGCGACATGCGATTTCAGGGCGACAAGTCCAACCAGAAGTGCAACTCGTACATCTGGGAGGTGGAGAATCCTAACGAGCCCTTTCTCACCCTGGAACCGAAGGTGCCGTGCGTGTGTTTGGAGTACAACCAGAAGGATCCAACCAGTCTGGTGAGTGGCATGTACAATGGTCAGGTGGCCGCCTGGGACACGCGACATGGCAAACTTCCAGTCATGATCAGCGAACGGGAGGTGTGCCACCGGGATCCAGTCAACTCGGTGCTTTGGAACAATTCGAAGAGCGGCACTGAGTTCTTCTCCGGAGGTTCAGATGGTCAGGTGCTGTGGTGGGATACCCGTAAGCTCACCGAACCGCTGGATCGCCTGCTCATGGATCCGGTGAAGAGTGATGATCAGGATCTTTCACGATCCTACGGTATATCGGTGCTGGAGTACGAGACCACCATACCTACAAGATTCATGGCGGGCACTGAGATGGGCATGCTCTTCTCCTGCAATCGGAAGGGCAAGACGCCCACGGAGAAGATTCAGATACGGGTATGCTATTTGCCTTCGATCACGGATCATTTTAGATTGATTTGGTTCTCCTCCCACAGATGATGTGCCACCTTGGTCCAGTGTATGCTATAACCCGAAATCCGGCCTTCGTTAAGAACTTTCTAACAGTGGGCGACTGGTGTGCTCGGATCTGGTCGGAGGATTGCAGAGAGAGCTCCATCATCTGGACCAAGAGCAGCAGCTCAATGTTGACCGACGGCGCTTGGAGTTACACCAAGTGAGAGCTCATTAATTAAGGATATATTTTGCTGGTCTACATCATCAATTCTAGAGTCTCCCAGTTCTTCATCACACGCATGGATGGCGTATTGGACACCTGGGATCTGCTGCAGCAGCAGAACGAACCTGTTCTCACGGTTAAGGTGTGCGATGAACCTCTATATTGTGTCCGGACCAACGAGAACGGCAAGTTCGTGAGCTGTGGCAGCCAGCTGGGGGCAACTTTCCTTATCGAGGTCTCCGACAACATGGTCATGTCGGCCAAGAACGACAAACCACTGCTAACCGCCGTAAGATTCAGATGGGAATCCAACACTTTAAGATCCTCAATCAATGTTTCTTTGGCAGATGTTCGAGCGCGAGAACCGTCGTGAGAAGATCCTGGAGGCCAAATCCCGGGAAAGCAAGCTGAAGGTCAAAGCCAACCATGGCCAGGAACAGGGGGACACAATGATGGTCAACGGGAAGATCAACATGGCTCCGTTTGAGGCAGCCTGCGAGCAAGCAGCCTCCGAATACTTTGCGGCCGTGGAACAGGAACGCCAAAGGCGGCTGCCCGGCGGAAAGCGTAGGTGAACGAAGGCGGTTTATAAATTGATACCCCTTGCCCAGGAGTTTCCACTAATTGGTTTTCTTTGATTTCCCATTTCAGAGGATGCGGAGGAGGCTGATGTGTCCGAGGCGGAGAGCTCGAAGCTGTAAATCCCAAATGGAACTATATCATTTCATTGTTAATTCTAATAAGTGCACGTTATAGGGAATGAATTTGTATGGGAAATAAATATTACAAATGTATTCCAAGACTTTATCCTATTATATATACTTTCCAGTCTGGTTAATCGAAATCTCAGTAAATCACAAATCCCACATGATTTGGATATTATAAATAATTAATAAACTTTGAAAGAACTTTTCCATGAATCAACAGCACTTTATTAATTCAGTACAAGTAGTAAAATGTATACATTTAAAAACCGATTAAAACGTCTTTCGCTGTTCAACACCATTAAGTTTCAGTGTTGGGTACAACTGGCTCTAGTTCTCTGCTCCGATCGGACTCAGTTCCAACTGTGGCTCACAAGTTCACGAGCCAATTAGCCCAATCAGCTGTTGACATTCGACATTCGCACGCGGGATTGGAAGGAAATAGTTAAAACGGCTTAAAGCACGCTTAGAGATCAAAAATTGTAAGTAACTTATGTACCAGACAAGCTAAAAGCACATACAAACACAAATCAATAGACTGTCGCATCAGAAACGACAATCGAGCAACAATTTCTCATCAGCTGTGCGAGTAAACGTGCAAGAACTACACTTTGCTACAAGTGAAAGGGACAAAGGCCAACCATTATCTGTGCCTAGTGATATAATTGTTGTTCCGAGTGCAAATTAGCAAAGCAGTGCTAGAGTTCAGACCAGCTACTTGGCTGCAAGGTACTTTCTAATATTCAAACGCCGACCAACTAGCGAGGTCAGGTAGCCAAAGTAACCCGTTCCGTGTTGCATGGTGTGCGGCCTACGTGACTCAGAAACAGTTATCAATGGCGCAACACACACGCAAAGTTCAGTGACCAATTTCTGTGCAGCAGCCAAACGCCAAACGCAACCCCTGAAACTCCTCAGACGGCGTCTAACGGCCAACTGATAAAGTATTGAACTGTCCGAGTGGCAGTTGTGTTCTACTAAATATTACTACTTGTTAACTAAACAAATACCTCGGGTAAGACAAAGGCCAGTCAGTGAAGTTGCTATATTTATGCTTAAGCTGCATAGTAAACAATTCGTGTTCACGTAGTTTTCGTGCTAGTTTTGAATCAATCTGTGGTTTGTTCGGAATTAATTGTACAATTTTATTGAACAATTAAACTAGCATACGACTCAAACCTTATCGACATGTTACGATGCTTTTACCATAAAGTAGAACGGCAGTTTGTTTTGCCACTTTAATGCCAATTGTTAATTCAGACCTTGGCGGCGCACCGATTTGAAAGTGCCTGCTGCAAAGTGTTTCCCCAAGGTGGGGCCATCCATTAAGTGATTCACCCACCTGGCGTGTGCTAAATATAAGAATTCGGCTTTTGCTTTTCCGGTTCGCTGCAATCCGAGGGGCCGGACCACGTCCTCCCATTCCATGCTATTCAGCAGTCACGTACGCCATTCGCATCATCCAAATCCAGTCCCACAAATCGCTGTCTCTTTGTTTATTGTTTATTTAGTGAACCCATCGCCGCACAAACAAATTTAAATACGACTCCATAATTCTTAATAATCAAAACAATCTTGACCTTAACATGTCTGGTTCAAATATGTATGAATGGAATAATGTGGTGTCTTTAGTTTATTTCGTAACAAATACAATGGGTTTGTTAAAGCAGGATTGTAGGTTTAGTAAGTAGGCTAATTACTTGCTACAACAGCAATATTTATTGCGTCTTCGGGACGAATATAACAAAGAAATCAAAAAGCAAACATTTTAATCAAAGCCATTTTGTTTTGAAAACTACGATAATAAATATACTCATTATTCTATACTCTTGCAGCACAATGTTGGACGTGATCCAACCCAGCAGCAACCTCCCGACCAGCGAGAGCACCGATGTTGTGGTGGTCAGAGCCAGGCCAAAGAAGGTATTTAAGCCAAAGGCGCGTATCAATCGGATTCCCCAGGAGCTGCTCGATGATCCACTGCTGCAACAGGCCATCGACCGCCTGCCCTCGAACTACAACTTCGAGATGCACAAGACCATCTGGCGCATTCGGGAGATGAAGGCCAAGCGAGTGGCCCTGCAACTACCGGAGGGCCTGCTGATGTACGCCATGGTTATCAGCGACATTGTAGAGCGATTCACCAGCGCAGATACTGTGATAATGGGCGATGTGACTTATGGAGCTTGCTGCGTGGACGACTACACCGCCAAGGCGTTGGGAGCTGATCTGCTGGTCCATTACGGCCACAGCTGCCTCATTCCCGTGGATCAGACGTGTGGCATCAAGGTGCTGTACATTTTTGTGGACATCAAAATCGATCCGCTGCACTTCCTGGACTCTGTAAAGCTTAACTTCCGCCCAGAGGTGGGCCAAATAGCTTTAGTCAGCACAATACAGTTTGTGACAACGCTGCAGGCTGCATCTACTGAGCTGAAAGCAGCGGGTTATGATGTGATAGTACCACAGGCCAAGCCACTTAGTCCTGGAGAGATTCTTGGGTGCACTTCCCCTCAGCTGCCGGAGACAACCAAGATGATAATCTATCTGGGTGACGGACGTTTTCATCTGGAGTCCGCAATGATAGCAAACCCCTTGCTGAAGGTATGCATTATCATGCATTAAAAGCAAACTCCTAATTTACTAATATAATATGTTAATGTTTACATTAGGCCTACAAGTATGATCCCTATGAGAAGAAGTTCACCACAGAGCAGTACGACCACTCGGCGATGCAGAATCTTCGCCTAGACGCTGTTCAGCGGGCTAAGAAGGCGCGTCGCATCGGCATCATACTTGGAACACTCGGAAGACAAGGAAGTTCAAGAGTGCATCGTTTTTTGGAGAAGCGACTTCATGCCAAGGGTATCGAAACCACTACATTATTGCTGTCGGAGATCTTCCCACAGAAATTGGCTCTTTTCGCCGACATCGACGCATTCGTGCAGATTGCTTGCCCGCGACTTTCAATCGATTGGGGATCCGCCTTTAGCCAACCGTTGCTGAATCCTTACGAGCTGTCCGTGGTTTTGGGCGATGTCGAGTGGACGCCACATAACTCGTCGCCGCGCAACAACGCCTATCCGATGGATTTCTACGCCAGCGGCAGCCTGGGACCTTGGACTCCCAATTTCAAGCCACCAGCGATAGGAGAGTGCGAGAACAAGCCCTCGGCTGATTGTTGTGGAAGATGCACGCGAGCGGAATTGGAGAAGGATGATTCCGGCAAGGCAGCGGCCCTGGCCGATCTTCTCGACTTTAAGAAGGGATAAACGAATTGTCTGGCTCGCTTCCTACTGCCCACGGATGCCCTCCATCTCAATCGATCAGCCCAGATCGTCTGCCCAAATATATTGATTACCTACTAATTTAGTTAGTACAAATTCGGTTTTTAAGCTATTACTTTTAGGGCATCTTTTGTGTTCATCACAGATAGGTTCATAATTTGTATGTTCACAATAGTATGTGTTCTTTAGTTTATTTATCATATACACTTTTTTAACAGAGATGCAATTGTTATATAGCAACAAAAATGTACACCATTTGCAACATTAAAATAATGTTTTAAAGGACTCCTGAATATTTTGGAAACAGTCATTTTACATAGTTATTTTTTTTTATTTAGTTATTCTTTGGAAAAATATTCCAACGCAAAGTAGCTTTAAGCCCCCAAAAAGGTTGCAATTTCCGTTTCAAAGCGAATTCTTGGTTCTTTTAGATTTCATTTTATTGCAAGAATATCACAAATATTTAAAATATATACAATTTCTTTAGAAATTTACTAAATTATCTAAAATTGAACTAAAAATTTGACTAAGCTTGTTAAATTATCTACGTATTGTTTGTATATACATTTGGTCTATTGAATTGGCTAAGTTTGATATGTACAATTGCACTACTTAGACTAAATTGGCTAACTAGGTATGTATATACAATTGTGTTGATGATGTATATATACAATCGAAATGGGACATTAACTAAAATGTACATATGCTATAGAATTAACTAGAATTTACAATTGTCTAAATTCGGCTAATTTGCTGACACTGCAAGGTCTTCAAGATTGGATCCATCGAATTGCTCCCAGGATGTGTGGGGCTCGACGTCGCTTTCGTCCTTTGATTCCTCACAGATCCTGCGCGGGATGCGTGAAGCTCCACCAGGAGGCGACGTCGGTCCGCGATGGATGTTGTCGGTCGGAGAACATCGCTTGCAGTGCAGGTCGATTCCCAATCGACTGCTGTGTTATATACTCCATCAGGTAGGCGAAATTGGGAATATTGCTAGATAAGCGTTCTTTGCCTGCTGTAATGACTTTGACCTTGCCATACCGCGATTACCAAAAAATTTCCAAGAAAGATAACGCGAACACCTACAAAACATTTTTGAGTACCCGCTGATTTTGTGGAAAGTGCTCAAGTCGATAGAAAGCAGGAAAATGGTGTGGGTAAGTAGGTATACAACGAATTGTAAGGATTTCACCCAAATCGCGACGTCTGCATTCCATGTGTAAAGTAAAATGATTTCCTGAGTAACTAGATTTCCTTCCAACCACTTTATTCTGTGACATAAAAATTGTTTGTTCAAGAGCTTTTGAGCCTCTAGCTCTTCAAACATTTAGCTAATATTATCAAATTTTCATTTAATTTTTTTTATTTCTGTTGAATTCAGATTCAGAATGGAATAAACACATGAAATATTTTATTATTATGCTATACATTAACATCTAATTACGTTTAATGTTTTCACTAATATTTTAATAGCTAGTCAGTCGTTAAAGATTAGGTTTTCGTTGCAGATATCTGAAAAAGCATTTCTAATCTTGTGGAGACCTCTAAAATAATAAATATTATATGTTACCCAAGGAATATACAAAAATCTCAAACCAACCTTGCTGCTTTTTACAAAAATTTGCAGTTGTTTTTCTGCGATTTCTTGGACTTCTGATTTTTGAATTGTTTCCTTGAGATTACGAATTTCATCCTTAAGCTTTTGGCGTTCGTCTTTGAGGAAAAATATCTCACGTTTCAGGGAGCATCTGGGGACGAATAGTAAATGTAAGATTTATTAAATAACCCATAACCCATATTAACGACTTACACTTCGAGCTCCAAGTGCTTTACATAGTTGTCCCCTTCCGAATCGATGATCTCCACATGATCCTTGGCATTTGACGGCGGGTTGAGGGGATCCAAAATTTCAACTTCCCAGTGCCTGTGATTTGAAGGACAGTCGGCATCCTCAGGTGACTGGGAGGTCGTAAGCCTTTCAGATTTACTGATCGGTTTTGCGACCTTTTCGAAAAAACTGGAGGAACTTTCTTCGAAGCCCTCAAAATCTGTTGTAAAATCACAAAGTTGGATTTCTATGGTTTCGTGGCCTTCCGATGAATGCGTTTCTTCCAGGAGTAATTCAGATTCAATATTGTTAATTTTCGAAGACGCAGCTAAGGAAACATTTGTGGAGCTCTTTTTGACTCTTCCACGCAGATTTTTCGCCAACTTTTGGGGTCCATTTACACTGGGAAATGAGCCGGGCTTCAGTTTTGTTGGATTTTTGCGGCTGAAGCCCAGTTCGTACTGCATATTTCGCTCAAAGTCGTCGGGTGCAAAGTGCTCATTGCAAATGCAGGCTGTTAAAAGAGATGCATCTATAATTTGTTTACTTTTTGCACAGTTGTTGTTAAATAATACCTGTAGCGGGGTTAATATTATCGCGCTGGCAAAAATCAATCCACTTTTGGAGGTTTGGCTGCTCTTTGGGAAAGTGAAAGTATCGCCATTTCGTTCTATTGCAATTGCGATTGTTATTTCCGCAATTTCGTACAGCGCAGCGCATTTAATGTATTTTTGTTAATTAAAAGGTAAACAAACAGCTGATTAGTGTATTGTGGCTGCCAAACTGTATTAGGTGTCACGGCTAAATTGGTTTGAAAATTGGCTGTGCGAGCGGATAATGGATAAAAAGGGTATTTTATCGGATAATTTTGTATCGTTTTCTTTTTTATTTAAATAAATATGAACATCAGGTTGGGATTGAGCACTAAAATGAACAGAGGAATCTGGAGCACATGACATTTAAGTTTCAGCAATTCACTTACATTTTGTTCAGCATAACAATTATCGATAACAATTCGATTTCTGACTAATCAGCTGTTTTGGAGTTTTTATCTCTTATTGGTTTGTTTTGATTTAGGCAGCAAATATTTGACATTATGTTGAAGAGCAGCAATATAAATAGGTTAATTAAATAATTGGGTGTATTATACAGTGTGCAGTATATAAAATTTCCATTCTTAGCGTTCTCAATGAGCTCCCTAATGAAACAACAAGGGATTCCAACCCACAATCTTCACAAAATGGAAAACCAAAACAAGATGCGGAAACCTGTTGCTCCCCCCAGGACAACGAAGTCATGGGCAGTCTAGCCGCTTTGCAGTTGTCCGCCGGCGTCCTGCAAATAGCGGAGCCTCCACTGAACCATGTGCGCTCCCAGCTTAGGGAATTGATGTGAGCACTTTGGCTCAGATTCTGGAGATCACTTAATGAACTGTATATATCATTTCAGCGGCAGGCAGAACAAAACATACATCGATTTGTCCAAGGAGAAATATAAGCTGGACTGCAGCGAAGTGGCCAGGCTGAATGACATGGTAAGTACCTCATGGCCATGTCCGGAAATGTTAGGTGCCTACATCTTGGGAAGATTCTGTTGTGACCCAGTAAGCTTTCCCTCGGCTTTCAGTACGGTATGCAAAAGTAAACTATGTCTTGTTTAAACAAATCTTATTCGAACTTAATAACTATAAAAAAGTAAATAAATTTTCAAAGCAATCAAAAGTCAAAATACTTTTTAATAAATAATACAAGAGTTTCAACCATTTGTAGTTAAAGAGTAAGCTTTATTTTATATATACTTTGTCAAAACACATTTATAAAATAATATTGGTCAGAGCCAGAAACACATAGTCGGCTGAAGCTTTTCGGATATCACTTTTGTTTCGAGGCTACAATCAATAATTCTGACCAATTAGGGCCATTCAATAAGGCACTATTCATCGCAAAGCTTAAATGTAAGATAGCTCAGCTAATTAAGTTGACCGAAGTGTTATCAGGGGGTGTAGTCCTATGTCTGGAGTCACAATCTAATCTAAAGACAAACAGCCAACAAAGTAACTTGCCATTAGAGAGTGTTATTAATTGGTTCAATTACCATATCCATTTTATAGATGAGCGATGTAAAGCGATACAAAGAAAAGCTAACAAAAATCAAGAAGGAAATGCAGAGCGTCTACCAGCGCACCAAAGAGTTGAAGGTGAGAAATGGTTTAAGCAAAGAAAGAACCCATAATAAAGCAGTAAAGAAAGTAATCAGAAATTTGAATCCCGCTGTTGATTAAAGTGTTTATTAGCTTTGAATTGCTGATTACAGAAACGAGCCGCAAACGTGGCGGCCTGCAAGCAGCGTGACTACCAGCGGAAACTCGAGAAGCTACAGCACGAGGAGTCGCTCATTGGCAGCCAGTAGAAGCAGGGGTTCAGTCAACAGCTGACCAGGTGTCACCCGGATTATAGAAGCTACACACCTTGTAAAGGCGCATTTACATTGGGATTCCCGTTTACAACTAGGCAATATTGAACAGTTGAACAAAAGTTAAACCATTTGAATACATAATAATAATAATAATATTAATAATAATAATAATAATAATTGTATATGTTATAAGGCCTGGATATCGTATGACTACGATTAGTTGGAAAACATGATATTGTATATTACGTAAAGTTAAGTAAACACTTAAGAGATTTCGCAGAAATAAGCTAAATGCGCGCAGAGTGAGGAAAGCCAATCACTACTATACATATAGCTGCAAATATTATATATAAATATACAAATATGTTTAACATTAAGATGGTGTGGAGAAACAATAGTTGAACGATCACAGCGCCAAGGCATTGGCTTATTTAAACTAACTTCGCTGTAAACATTGTTTTTAACTACTTGAACATGCAAACAACCAGCTGCGCTTAAAATACTACAAATAATTAAGTTCTCACATTGGTTTCAATAGAAAATGAGAAAGTGGGGAAGAGCTTCGTTCGCGCGACATGCACGTAGCTGCGATCTGTGTGAGTGTGGAGCTACTAAGATAAGTTACTACTTAATTAAAGCACATTTCCAATACAGGTAGAAGATCGATTCAACATGCAGCTCGGGAATAGAAATCTGTTGGAGTGGAGCATTCAGTTGAACTGTAGAAGCGTGGTCTCTTGTTGCCGCTGTTGCTGGCTCGTTGGTGACTTTTGGTGATTGTTTTGGTGGATTGCTGTGGGTGGTGATGCGTCCAATACAAACATTGTTTAGCGAACTCTACTATACTCCTGATCATTCAGCATGTGCATTGCATCTGTCGGTGCGAAATACTTGACAGTGCCTAAAAATATTCAGAAGAGTTAGTGAAACATTTATATTATATTAAACAAAAAATTTATAAGTAAAAGCTACAGGTTAGGAATCTAGTAAATACCCCACTTCAATTACACACTGGAATTGAAGGCATTAGTTTAAAATGCAAAAAAGGAAGAAATGTGTTTGTTAGTTTTCATGTTAGCTCATTGTTTTACCACTTTTAAAGTATTTACTTTTTATCATACTTTTGTTAGGTTTTAAAAGCAGTCGAAAAGGTTTCTCTTTTTTCAAAGAATTTTGATACCCATTTTATTTTAACGTTTTCCTTAACTTTGCATACATTTTAATTGAAAAAATATGATATGGTTATCATCATTTTGTTTCAGTATTACAACACTTATTTATAGGGCGACAATATTTTAAATTCAGTTTGAGAATTATTAGGTCTTTACCACAAAATATCCTATCATAAAATCTATGGCAGATCTTACAAAATATATGGTGGTCTTAAGTACAATGGCCATGTGGTGCTCGTATCCGGCTCCACTGCCTTTGAATGGTTAATGGTTAATACTTAAGGCTGCTAGGCTTTCGTTAGATAAATTTAAATCCGTCAATGTATATAAGACTACAAAATTCAGAAGGAGGATCGCAATCACCATCAACTCAAGTCGACTTCGCGGAACCCGTCACCGTCTTTATCGTCAGTATTTTTAGGAGTGTCTGCCTCCAAGGGTGCAGAGGGGGAGGCAGTGGCTTTGTGAGTGGCAGAAGCGACCGTACCCTTACCATTTTCGTCGAGGTTGCTGTTGCGCTGAAGATACAGCTGAATGCAAACGTGGATCACAAAGATAATAAAGGCACCTATTCCGAAGATCTCAAAGGTGGTGCGTGCAGTGACCGACTCGAAAAGCTGTCCACCGATCAGGCTGCCCATTGACACACCGACGCCTTCGAATATCGCTCCAACCAGACTCTGAAATGGCAACGAAATGAATAACTTTTGGGATCCCTCCCATAATCATCGAGCTCACCTGCATGGTAGCATCGGTTCCTGGCGGTGCCACAATGCTCGCATAGGAAGCCATTGTGGCATAAAAAAGACCGAAGGTCACCCCGTTCATCAGTTCGACGGGCAGGATGTACCAGGGATTCTGCAGCATCGAGTAGAGAATAAATCTCACTCCGAATCCAAAAAGCACCAGGCTCATGGCGTTCACATGACCAATCTTCTTCAGAATCCATCCGGACAGGAAGAAGAACGGCAGTTCGCCGCCAAAGCACTGAATACCCATGACCAAGCCTTCCAAGGTCTTAATTGAGCTGTCACATCCCTCAAACGCCTTGTCCAGCTCCTCCAGGTATATGAAAAGGAAGTTCCATATCAGAGCCGTTCCAAGTCCTATCGCAACGCACCATAGGAAAAAGACGACGCAGCGCACCGAGAGGAACATCTGACCCACATCCTTTAATATGTTGGAGGACAAATGTGTTGGTGTGTGCTGCAATTTGGATTAAGTCAGTTTATGGAAAGGATTTGCTGTCTCTGATTTACTCACCCTCAGCTTGGATGAGGCGAAGACATCAAATCCCATGATAAGCAAAGCCATCCAGAACACGGCCGTGTAGTTCTTGTTCACCTCACCCAAGGACATGTGATCCACAAGGAGTCCGGCCAACAGGGCAAAAACTCCCCATCCAAGGGAGCCGCACAGACGCTGCTTGCCATACAGGTGATGACGATCGCCGAGGATGCCAAAGCATATGGCGTCACCAATGCTGACCACCACCGCCATACCGATCCAGCTGAGGATGAGCAGGCCAAAGAACAACCAAAACTGCGGCATGGCCATGGCACTACTTGTGTTAATCACAGCATTCTCCGCCAACTGCTCCTTGAGATAGTCCTCATTGCAGTCCATGGTGCAGTTGGATTTGAAGTACTCCTTTGGACAATACATCGTGACATTCTGGCCCGCAATCTGGCCTTGATCGTGAGGAACCATGAAGAACATGCAGCTGTTTTCCTTCTCAATCTTTTGCATGTTGATGCTGGTTCCGAATTCCATCTGGGTGTTGGTGCGATTGGCGGCACAATTATCCGTGTTGTTCTTCAGCCAATCTTGACACACAATGTCCCACATGAAGGGCTGCGCCTCGCAGTTCAGAAGACACTCCAACGTCCTATTCCCGTAGTACCGCTCAAGATTTCCCTGCACGCACTCGCCGTACTCCGAGCAGAATTTCACGTCGGAGACACCCTGGTGGCAGTGGAACTCCACCTTGGGCAGCGGCTTCTCCATTCCCGGCACAAACATGATGAGGAAAAAGGCGATGCCCGTGAGCACCTGGCCACCCAGAAATAGGGGTCGATGGCGATGGTACCTTTAGATGGGTAAAAGCCACTCTTATTATTAAAAGCACTAAATTACCAGTGTATCAGCATGAAGTTCTTGTTTTTCTTCTAAGCCCAGTGAAAATGTTATTAAATTATAATTTTCT